GTGTTTTAATTCTAGTATTTCCTTGTAGTCTACTGTACTCAAATAGGTATAGAATGTGTAGAATATCAGTATTAGTTGTAGTTTGGCGTAGTTTTATCGAAAAATTTATAGATCAAGATCCACTAAAAAAATACAAAAATTTACAAAAGTGTTCCAATTATAGCATTTTCATGTAGGATTTTGTAGTACTTCTTAAATTCATGTAAAATTTAATAGATTCTGGCAATTATATTTTATAGTTTTTTGTAATACACTTTTATTTTTTTTTTAATTTTGTAGAAATATTTTTGCCAGGGTAGCGACGAGAACCGCTGACGCGCAGACCTGCCTAAGTCTCGGGAAAAAATATGGTCATCCCGGACATCACCCGCCCGTTAGACTTTGACCACGGTGCCAAAACCGCTGACAACGAAGTCAGCAACACCGAGCGGATAAAGAGCCCGCCTTTCCGACGAGTGGCGGGCAGTCGGTCGTCAGCTGATAACGATACGAGAAACGTGCGTCCTACACGAAAGTATTTTCTGAGTAGTGTATATAAGGGAGTTCCACCCCGAGGGCTCCGAGGGGGGGTGAGGAAGGGGGGGTATCGGATTACGCGGGGGGGTGAGGGGGAGGGGGCATCGGGTTACAGAGGGGTATCGGATTACGAGGGGAAGGGGGAGGGGGAAGGGTGACCTTGGCATACCACCGGGATGACTCACCTGGATGATTCACCGGGATGACTCACCGGGATAACTCACCCGCGCCGATGGTCCGCGCGGGGGGAGGGGGTCCGCGTTCGCGTTCGCGGTCGCGCCGCGGGTCCGCGTGAGGGTCCGCGTGAGGGTCCGCGGGGGTCCGCGAGGGCCGCGTGAGGGTCCGCGGTTGCGCCGCGGGGTCCGTCGAGTCGCGGGGACCTCGTTCGCAACGACGCCGCTAGGCGGCGTACAATGGGTAAGACTAACTCGATAGCGCACTGCGTAGTTTGTCGATGCGAAATTCTCCAAGATCTTGCAACATTCTTCGAAATAATCTTCGGGAATCATAGTCTTGTTCCATTGCTACTCCACATGCGTGGAGTACTACGTTTAGTAAGCGTCTCACCATAAACTTATACTCCTTAGTAGTTTTTTATCTTAGACGTTTTTTTATCTCTACAAACTCGCTACGCGGTTCGCGTAGGCAATCAACGTCTCGTCCATGAGGGGAAATCGACCCCTCGTCAGGCGGAACAGGTCCTCCCGCGCGCGGCCGGGCGCGGATATTGTGCCCCCAAACGGAAGCCGGGGCGCGGGAGGAGCGCCTTCAAACACCTCTATAGCGTCTTCAAACTGGGGAGCGTCGGGCCCCCCCAAAATTTCACTGTCTTCTATGGGTGCATTCGGGGAGCACGCTATTAGCACAATTATCGTCCAAAACTGTTCGAGGAGACGCTTTGTGGCGCTGTGATATACGATGATGACGTCACTGTAAAGGCAGCGTGACGTCATCACTCGCGCTATTTTCGCTATTATTTTCGAGGTGAGGCACGAAATACTATTGGCGCTTAAGCTGCGTTTGGGAAGCTTGCTATCGCTGTCGCGCTATTGGCTCTTTGAACGAAGTTCATAGCGTTTGCGTTTATAGCGTTAATAGCGTCTCCCCGAATGCACCCATACACTACCAGTAATGACGTCACGACAGCGTTTGGTAGCGCTATCATAGAGCTCCGCGAACAGCCAGTAGCGCTAGGTAGCGCTAATAGCGTCTCCCTGAACGCACCCTGTCGGCAACCTTGTCGCTGTCGCTATCGCTATCGCTATCGCCTATTGTGCAAAGGGCTTTAGGCTCTATAAATGTGAGTATACTTGTCCGCCATTTTTCTTCCAACCGCATTTAAAAGGTTATGTTTTCGTAAATACGCTTTTCGGTGTCGCAATTAATCTAAAAATTTAACTTAAATATCGATTCTGTTACACTTAAAATAATGTTATTGATTCTTAATTGATTAGACGTGTGTTCTTAAACGCGCGACAGTAGAATTTGTTTTATAAGTGTCATATTTTTCGTAAATCAACACATCGTGTCTCCGTTTTATTGCACATATTTGGAGCAGCAATTTTAAGGGTCGAAGGTATATTATTTAAATAATACTTAATTATCGCAAAAAATTGTCTCAATATTGCAGTTTTGTCATATTTTCACATATTTGTGTTTTTAGATTAAGTTTTGGCTGTTTGTAAACTTAGAACAATAAAAAAATCCAAGTACGTCACATCCTGGGCCAAATGTAGAGGTAATTGCCGTATAAATTCCTAATTTTTTCTTTCGTTTATTAATTAAATATATTCGGCAAACTAGCTTTCAATTTTTTTTATCTGTCCCATACAGCACAAGAATCTTTCAGAAATATCTAAGAAATGTTTCATTCGATAGGTTGAAACATCTCATAAATATTTCAAAATGTTTCTGCAACATCTTTGAGACAGCTCTGAAATAGCAAAATGTCCGCGATTCTCGCACTTGAAACCTTTCTGAGAAAATGTGTTGAAAGGTTTCCGAAATATATTGCCGTATTTTTTTTATTTGGGCGGTCACCCATCCAAGTAGTAACCGCACTCTGCAACCCTTCGCCTAGCCGTGGAGCCGAGGACACCCGAGGGGCAGCAGCGACCAAGGGAACAGCGGACATCAATATTTCTTTAGGCTAAATACCGGATAAGCGAGTCCGAAGAGCCCATATGGCTAGCGTTCATCTAAAAATATAGCGACGCGACGAATAGGGGAACCGGGGCCTGATTGACCCAGGCAGGCGAGCCGCAGATGAAGGACCGAACGAGACAACGAGCGGGCCTCGGCAGGAGACCCGAGCGGAGAAGATAGGGACGATCGCGGCGAGAATCGAGTAAAGGGCCCGCGAGATAACGGGGTCAAAATAATGACCCCCGCGAACGAGGGCACAGCGGTCATAGCCGGGGGCCGAACTCCGAAATCCGTCTCAGGAAAGACCCTGACGTCGACCATCCGACCCCCAACGCGCTAATACCACCGGGCGCAGAGATAGCGGGGTCATAACAATGACCTCCGCGCAGAGGGGCACGGCGGTCACAGCCGGGGGCCGAGCCGCGGAGTCCACCTAAAGGGGGACCCAAACGTCAACCGACCGACCCGCGACGCGATAATACCACCGGGCGCGGAGATCGCGGGGTCACAACAATGACCCCCGCGCATAGAGGTACGGCGGTCACAGCCGGTGGCCGAGCCGCGGAGTCCGCCTCAGGGGGAACACGAACGTCAACCGACCGACCCGCGATGCGATAATACTACCGGCCGCGGAGATAGCGGGGTCACGACAATGACCCCCGGAAGTCGGTAACCGCGATAATCCGGAGGGAAGTAGCGGACGGAGGATCACTAGAGGAGGCGCCGGGAAAGATCCGAGGGGTCAGCGAGACCACTCGGTCGCACAATCTTCGGACTCGGGAACCAGGGGAGTCCGACTCGGGGTCCAAGGGGACCCATGCGTATGCGTGTGAGTAATTACGAAGCTCGGATTGAGAACCGCGGGCGACACCGAACGCGAAAACATGCAAAAACTGCCATAAAAAAAGAGAAAGCGTTCAACATCTGGCGTGGAAAAGTACCGAGATGTGAATAACAACCCATGGTGAAGAAGATCCTGAGGTTAAACATAACTCGTATGACTATTGCGAGCGGTAATTAATTACCAATTATAACAACGTTCGACGAAAAGTGTCAGCGTGAAGCGCACACGGCGCGACAATTTTGTAATCAACTACGACGATCTGAAATAAATCAATCGTTTGTTAATATACGCAGTGTCAAGTTAACTTGAATTACTTACCTGTGACTTATTATGTCCTACGGCATCGGTCCATCGTTGTCCAGCGGCGTTCCAGTATGCGATAAGGCGAGGATCTGGGACAGTCAGCGGCAGTTGAGATCCATCCGGGGCGAAAAGCTGAAAAGGAAATTGGCCGATTAATTAAACATACACATTTTCTACTTACCTGTTCCGTCGGGGGTGGTCCCACGTTGTCCATCGATGATCCAGCAGTGGGGAGGCAGCGTCGGGGCATCGAGACATCCTGCGTCGAGAACCTGAAAATAAAGCCATTATATAAGATATATTCATCATTGAAAGCTAACAGTGATACGCATTATATAAGTATACATACGTTTCAAATTCGCGCACTTTTGCATGCGCATGCGGCCACTGAGCATGCGCATGTAGCCGCAGGACTAGAGTTCCTCTATAGGGTGCGTTCAGAAAGTCACCCAACTTACCAAACTCATCAAAACCCCCGTTCAGAAAGTCTCGGACAAACCTCGGGTGACTTAGCGGAAGCCTTGCGATTGGACAGTCGAACGAAGGTGGGGAAATGTAGGCGGGCGACAAATTGACGAAAGAGCCCGACATTACACGGAAAGTGACGAAACTCTTAAAATGCTTCAATTTTGTCGGTAGTGGGGGTCACCCAGCTCCTCGATGATTTTCGATGGATGAGCTGGGTGACCCCCACTCTTCCATCAAACTAAAACCCGCGGATTTTAAATTGAAAAGACATACAATGGCCATTAGAAGAACTTCCATTAAATAATTAAATAATCGAAAAAGTAGGGTAGTGTTAATAATATAGAATTTTTTAACATATCTGCAGAGTCAGAATTATCTCCCTGTAATATTTGAATGAGAAGGACAATGAAATTAAACATTGTCTTGAAATAAATTGAAACGTAAACTTCTAGTATAGAAATTCCATGATTAATGCAGACATAAAAAATTGTGTGTAAAAAAAGTAACAAAAATAAATTTTGTTTCCTAAAAGTTATATGTTGAATAAATAATAAAAAAGTGTAATTAATAGAAAAAATAAACTATAAATTAAATTAAATTAATTGTCGGTAATTCTATAAAATGTTAAAATTGTATATCATATGACGGTAAGAATCCTGAGAAGAGCGATCAAGTCGCTAGGTTTAGGTAATAATCATCCGAGGGACCTAGCATCGAAAGCGTCAGTCAACTCCACGGCAGTCCACGGTCAACTCTCAAGTCAAAAGAGTCGCGCTTGTCGTGCACGTGTTCGGACGTGTTTGTCCTGAATAAATTTTTGAAGATTGCTGATGCAATCACAATTTCCACTCAGACTTCGCTACGCGATCAGTGATTCAAGCTTTGTTAAACAAACAGTGGCAAATCAGCGTATTGTCCGCTGAAAAGCGGCAGGAGCCAATAAAAAGTAAGAAGAAGAAGAAGAAGAACTCAAGTCAAAGGATTCACGTCAAGGCTCGAGCCTCGAGGAAGGTTTTGAAAGACAATGGATTCTTGCTGGCGATTTTGATTCACAGTCCCGTTCTCAATGAATTCAGATTAACGTAAGTAATTGCTCAATATAACAAGTACACATTCTCATCCCGATATTTCGTTATTCATACTCATGTTTATACTTTTTCTGCTCGATTTCGGAGCTACTCTCGCAACTGAATATTAATCATTATTTTCTAATTTTCCTATTGTTTTTATTAATGTCCTTTTAAATGCATTAATGCAGCACGCAATTATTTCTGGGTGAAATGCCACTTCTACTTCCTATTCTCGTAATTTATCCAAGAGCGGTAGTAGTATATCAGGATTTTCTTCCACGGTATGCAGTCTTCTTTGGAAAACTGGCATATAAGGGGTATTCAAATAAGTTAAAGTTTAACGGTTTGACAGGTTATGTCGGGTTAAAGTCGAGTAAAAAGTTAATTAATTAACTTTGGGCGCGCTACTCTTTAAGGTTATGTAAAATACATAAGTGACTCATTAACCTATCACATTAGTCTTTGGGTTAAAAGTTTAAAAATTAATTTTTTACCCTACTATAACCTGTCAAACCGTTAAACTCTAACTTATTTGAATATCCCTAAAGAGATTGCCAATAATCTTGGAGTAAATTAATATTTAATTCCTTATATGCAGATGTCCCTGTGCGAGGTATTAGAACCACTTGATTACGAGGAATTCTTGGGACAGCATCAGTCAGTGCTGGACCGTGATCCTTTAAAACCAATACCAGATTTTCCACCGGGAGACGTCAAATTGAGAGTCGTAAAGAGGAAGATTCGAACAGAGGAGCCAGTAGTACCGCACGAATCAATGTAAGAAAATAGTCGAAACGCTATTAATTACAATACAGTTATTTAAAACTTGTCATCCATTCTTTATTTTGATCATTTGGCTTTCAGTGATACCGTGTCGCCTTATGTGAAAAAATGTTGAAAGTTTTACTTCAGACTGGGTCGTAATACATCGTAAATACAAAGGTAGAATCTCACTTATCGCCAGAGACAGATTGATTCAGGATACACTTAGACAAGATTTTGAGGTACCTAGTGCTGGAGATAAAATTAATTTATTTGTGATAAGCAGGAAGTAAAAGCGATTTATCTTAATTAGGTAGATCAAGAAGATGCAAATGGTTGTGTATCACTGAACGAGGAGGATGATTTGTCCAATTCCGGAGATACTCCGAGAAGATCTTGGGCAACTCTGGATTTGCGGTATTCGCAACATGACTCTCTTCTGCCGAGTTTGTTAGATCGTGTTTGCCTCGAAACGATCGATCAGATGAACGAGCAGAAAAGATTGGAGGATCGACAGGTATAGGATTATAAAGCGGCAAGTTTGTTTATTTTGTTTTTATTAAATATTCTTAATATTTGTTATTCAATATTTTATTAAATATTGAATATTTATTAAATATTTGTTATTAAATATTTTATTAAATATTGTTCCGGATTCGGCGTTGCTGATACATTCTATTCCGCAATATTTAGACGAGTCCGTAAGTCAACAACAGCGTGTAAAAAAAAGTAATTGCTACTCTGAAATGATGTATACAAAATAGGCCAAGACATGCCCATTTTATGAAGAATTAGATGAAATTTTAGGCAAAAAGCCATGCGTCAAGCCCGTTGCACTGGCCTCCAACAGGCGTCCCGTTCTGGATAAAATGTGCACGGATGTAGACTGTAAAGAAGAACCTGAGAAAAAGAAGAAGAAAAGTAAATCCGACGTTCTCGATGAAATTAGAGAGTGGAGGGTGGAGTCGATGGAATATCGAAGAACCACTGATGCCGAGAAGCAGAAACAGCGCGAGGAGCAACTTGAAATTGCACGGAAGAGTATCGAGTCTATGGATGCTCGCATGGGTCAGTTAATTGATGTCTTGAAGAAAAATTAAAGGTATCCCAGATAGCACAACGCAACTAATTATACAATTTAAATAGTTCATTTGCAGTATTAGCTGAGATTATTCACTATACATTTTTTCACTATAAATTCTTTTGAATATATAAGTTGTAGATTCTTTTTAAACGTCGTATAAATAATATAAATAATGGCTACTCTTTTACAGTTATTCCTTCGGCTCTGGACGCATAGTATATAACAAGTTCAAGTCCGTGGTATCGTACGTGATTGATGATCTACCATTGTTCGATAAGAATGCAGTGGTTACTGTACCGAAGTTGTCGGTGTATGATTCACTTGACGAGGAAATAATATAGAGTTATCTGGAATTCTCGCTCGCCTCGATGAAGAAAGGCGCCTGCAGTGAGCAGTCCAGCCGTATGACGGCCATGGACAACGCCACCAAGAACGCCGGAGAAATGATCGACAAACTCACTCTCACGTTCAACCGCACTCAACGTATAACGTTGTAACTTTATAACGTTTGTATTATATATTAAGTACCAAAATTGAATTTCTATCAGTTCGGATATCAGAAGCATGTAACAACATGATCTTTTAATCTAGTTATAAAAGATTACAGATTCATCAATTTAGGAAGGTGTGGTATCTCTTTCTTTTCTTACTTTTTAATATAAAATAGTTGTTGTAGGTCAGACACAATCTTGTGATCGCGTAATAAAAGGAAGAGAGAAAGGAAAAAGATTCTATAATTGCAATGTGTGTTTGCAGTACCGTAAGAATTTTAAAGATAATTTAAAGTGTATAAAATGACGTGGCCTTTAGAGTACTAAATAAGACGATTACTTTTTAACTACAACCTTGTTTATGTACTTCTAGCTTGTATATAGAACGATATTGCGTGAATGATGGATGCATTTTGTAATCAAATGCAGAAATATTTCGGTTTCTGCCATGTCGCATGACGTACGTAATAATACAATTTTGCAAAAACGATTTTCGAAGTTAGAGTTTCTTGTTGCTAGTTTGTAGTCTTAACACGTGTAATAATGATTATCGACTCGAGCGGTATTTTTGAGTTGCACCGGACATTTTGTAAAGGAGAAGTTTTTAAAAACCATGAAAGCAACGCACATACAATTTTAATTTCGTAAATGCACAATCCGAATTTATTAACGCTTACGAATGATTTATTAATGTTCAGCTCGAAAGTTTTGCTAATTAGCGTTCTCATTATTATGTAACAAACTGACAAAGAGAAATAAAATCTATATTTTTACATAAGCAATGCTGAGAATGTAAGGGATACATAATCTATCCCTTATCTGTAGACAAGAATGCATGTCTGAGAAGCTTACGTAACTGTGGGCTCGCACTTTTGTAAGGTAAACTTAATTATAGGCGCAGCGTATTTATGAATTGTTTCAAGTGTATACTAAGGGTTGGTTTATAATAGCCGTAACCGTTGATTTAAGCCGTAATCTTTAAGAAATTGACCAATCACAGTCGATTATTCTTCTCACATTCGACTGTGATTGGTCAATTTCTTAAAGATTACGGCTTAAATCAACGGTTACGATTATTATAAATCAACCCTAAGAAGTATAGAATTTTTAATGATTTTATGTTTAAGGGAAAAACATTTAGAGTACTCTTCATTTCAAATACTTAAACTCTGCCCTATCGATTTATATGTTAAGGGGCAGATTAGGCGACTATTAAGGGCTACTAAAAATATATATGTATATATTTCACAAATATATACATATATTGGTAAAGCAATATACTCTTCTTGCTCGTTCATATTATGTAACAATAGAACTTAATTCACTCCCCCTTTTTTTCTTTTTTTTTACCACCGTCATTCACATTAGTTGCAATAACTCATGTATGGTGTTTGCAATTTTTTCATTTATACCCTAAATTAATTGTTGCGACAGCAACGTTGTTTCGATGCTATATTGCTGTTGCTAATGCACTAGTTATACCAAAAAATTCATCGTAGCACAGCAGAACGATATAAATTAAAATTATTCAATTTATACAGCGAATAAAGGGATTTTATTGTCGACGAGTATATCGGTATACTCTAAAACTATATGTATAAAGAAATGCATAATAAAGGAATTTATACTATTTGTAACATTTGTACCATTTATTACTTGAATTTTCAATTTTATTTGGAAACAAAATTTGATATATTAGAAACATAATTATACTATTTAGGTGGGCAATGTAATGTCATTTAATATAAAATATAATAAACTTTTCTTGGCGCAATTAGCCTTTAAGAAGGCAAAAATAGTATCTATAATTAATTATAATGTAGTTTTTGTATAAAATTATGTATACAATTTTTTGTATAAAATACTAGGCCTGTTCATTTTCGATGCACTTTTGAACTAATGCAATAAGTTAGAACGAAACAAATATATTTTGGGGTCTACAATGCGAGTCGTAAGTCGTAAGTTATAAGAAACTGACTAATCGCAGTCGATTATTCTCCTCAAATTCGACTTAATTGGTCAATTTCTTACGACTTATGACTTACGACTCGCATTATAGACCCCGTATAACCTATTGCACTAGTTCAGAAATGCAGCAAAAATGAACAGACCTACTATGAGAATCACAGTGTAAATTACTATTTATTATTATTCTAGCATATTTTTTTTCACTGATGTATATAAATATTCGATGCAAATATCAATAGAAATAATATCAAATTTAAATTACGCGCTCAGTTCTCTGGGCGTGTCAAATAGACACGCCCATCCCCCACCACTTTGGGTGAGTTTGGTGTACCCCGGGTGACTTTCTGAACGCACCCCTAGTAAAGCGGGGAGCACACACTTCTGCACAAGGCATAATGCGTAAGCATAAGAAAACTGATTGGTCTATTTCCTTATGCACATGTGTATAGACCAATCAATTTTCTTATGCTTACGCATTATGCGTTGTGCAGAAGTGTGTGTCCGGGCCCTTACCCCGGTCTGACTCCTGATTGGTTCCGCCATTGATGGGGAAGACGTTAGTGGGAGTGAGACAAAGCTATACAAGTGGGAGTGAGACAAAGCTATAACATAAGTGATCGTGATCCGCTATGCCCGGCTGCGGCTATGCTACAATTTTCAAGTACGATAGTTGAAGAACAAAATTACCTCGATCGTTCGCTATGCAAAAGTATGACTATTTCGTAAGCGAGTAAAATTCACGTTAGAGTAAGTAATAAAAATAATTAAAATATAACAAAAGGTATTTTACATCTGTTTAACTGTACATGATTATAAGTGATACTTATTAATAAAATGTATTTAGTAATTATTTATTATAATATTAAATTCACAAACTGTAATCTAAAACTTATACAAAAAAACCTTAACCTAAAACTTATACTTACAAATAGTTTGGAAAAATAATTTTAAAAACTGTGTTGTAGATAAAATGCCTAGTTGTGCGGCGCAAGGATGCTCAAATTCCTGGAAATCAGGTTACAAAATGTGTTATTTCCCATTAAAAGATACACAAAGATGTGCAATATGATTTCACAACGTGAATCGTACAAATTGGATCCCAACAAAACATTCAACACTATGTCAGGTAGTAATATAAATTTAAACTTATTAATAATCATTATACGGCGTCATTAATGCCTGGTCTCCAAAATTGGATGCGTTTCGGACTCACTCTTTGTCTCTTTCTAAAGGGGACTGTTAGAAAGAGACGAAGAGTGAGTTTCCGAAACTCTATTATTGTTACATTATTTTTATAATTTATAGGTTTATTTTGCTCCTGAAATGTGGGAAAAACATATAGAGCAGATGGCAGCTTGAAATTAAAAATGAATGCCATACCTACTTTATTTGGTGAAACAGGTAATTTTTTCATCTATGTTGGTTTAAAATTCTTAATTTTTTGTATTTCTATATCTATTAGTTTTATAGAAATTAATAACAGTACCTATCATAAATATTAACTTGTGCATTTATTAAAGTGATAGATTTTGTGTAGAAATAGATATAAATAATTATTATTTAACAGCAAAGATTAAGAGATATCAAAAAAGAAATTAAATAAACAAAAGTAAAGTTTTTTCTGTACGGACATAATTCAATTATATGTTCTAATCATGTAATGTTAATACTTTGTTTTCAGTTACAAAAGAGCTAATAATATAATTAACGAAATTGAAAATAAAGATCAATCAACGGAAGACTTTGTGCAAAGTGAGACGGTGCATATTAAAGAAAATTCGTCCCAAAATAATGAACATGAACCAATGGAATATGAAAATAAAGATCAATCAACGGAAAACTTTGTGCAAAGCGAGACGGTGCATATTGAAGAAAATTCGTCCCAAAATAATGAACATGAACCAATAGAGTATGAAGATGTGAACGAAACTATAAATATTGAAAGTAGCGAAGCAGAAAATGGAAAATCCGTGCAATTAAATAAAGTTTTAAATTCGTGCACTAATTGTTTACAAAAAGACAAAACAATAGAAGAAATGCGTAAACTTTTAACAAAAATTGATCTCTTACATAAACATGCAAAAGAAAAACTTTTCAATGCAAATCGCAATATAAAACGTTTACAACAACGAAAAGGTTCTTCCCATACAATTGCAACAAAGGTAAAGAATATGTTTAGCGATACGCAACTAAAACTGTTATCGAAACGTTCGTCGTTATTGTATTTGAAATTGAATTAAATTTAGCGGTCAAACATCACGCTGGGCTCTTATTGCCTTTGTCGAGTTTTTTGGTTGATTAATTACAGAGCCGTTATATAGTAATTTAAAACTGTTATCTGGCGAATTTATCAAAGTTCCAAAATGGTGCAATAATACTATACAAAAAGCACTAAAATTAAGGTTTGCATGTGGTAGCTCAGGTTATGAGGAAGTGATTCGTAATTTTCCTTTACCTTCGCTACGAACATTAAATAGGAAAATGCAAAATATAAATTTTAATGGTGGTATTTTGAATGACATTTTTGACTTTTTAAGTATTAAAGTTTCTTCCTTCAAAAATAGTTTAGATAATCATTGCATGCTAGTGCTAGATGAAATGAGCATAACACCTAGTCATGTATTAGATCTATCAAAAAATACGTACTTATAGCGAATTCGGGCGCTTGCACTAGTGCACACTGAGTGCGCACTAAGGCTTGTTCTTAATCACAATTATTATATTTACAAATCATCTTAAATACTTCTTAGTCTATAAAATGATTTTTACACCATCCATATAGATATTACAGATTATTTTATTGGCCAAAAAATCTTTAAATGTGTATTTAAGCGACTTTAAATATAAGAATAGATTATAAACAAGCCTTAGTGCGCACTCAGTGTGCACTAATGCAAGCGCCCGAATTCGCTATTAGGTACTGCTACTTTACAAAATTGTTCGCTGTGATAAGCATATCGCTAATCATGCTTTAGTTATAATGTTAGGAGGCATTTCAAATCGATGGAAGCAAGTTGTCGCCTATTATTATACCAGTGACTCACAAGGGAACGGTCGGAAGTGTCTCTACCCGATTTGGATGCGCTTTGGATATGTTGTTGAGCATCAAAAAATAGTAGACTCGTATTTCTTTTTTGCGGCGTATCGACGTTTAGGGGTTGAAAAAACCCCTAAAAAATAACGACCGATTTGGATGCGCTTTGGCTATGTTGTCGAGCATCAAAAAACATTAGACACGGGTTTTTTTTTGCTGCTTATCTCGACGTTTAGGGGTTGAAACAACCCCTTGAAAATAACGGATTTTATAATTTTTAGCGAATATCTTTAAAAATATAAGGCGTAACGACAAAACATTTGTACGAAATGTTTATGGCTTTTTGTGCTCTTTACAATGGCGTAATCAGATTTTTCAAATTTGTCACATTCTTTAATTTAACCCCACCCCCACCTATTATTTTTGCTTAATATAACAATTTTTCCAACGCAAATTTAAGAGCGTCAAATGCCAAATATATCCATGTGTATTTTTATTATGATACCATTATTAGATTTTTGGCAAGACGAGATGATATGTGATATAGGCGTCGCGCTATAGGTAGGTGTTGCGTTATTTCTGTTCAGTTGCGCCGTACACTTAATAATTTCCATTTGTGCATATTTTCTCATACAATATATACTATATACTACAACATAATAGGATTCCCCCGTTAGCCTCGGCGAGGGAGCAGGTGGAAAGTTCGGAAAGGTGGAAATAGGGTCGAAAACAGAGCTGTGTGGAAGGGTGGAGGTGCAGGATTAAAGGAGGGTGCGAAGGAAGTTGAGAGGAGGCGGTGGGATTGGAGGTGATGATAGAATCGAGGTGAAGCGGCCAGAAATTGAGGGAGAAGAGGAGAGTTAAAAGTGAAGTTAGGATGACGGAGAGGAATGAGAAGGAGGACGCAGCGAGGAGGGGTGCAGAGTGAGTTGAAGAGTTGAGTGCAGAAGGAACGGGTACTCGAGCGAGCGGGAGCGAGGAATCGATCGTGAGATCGATCGAGTCGGCATGCGAGAGAGGTGCTACCGACGGACGGCGGATGTGAGAAGTGAGGCGAGCTGGCTCGTTTGATCAATGAATGATCGAGCGGATCGAGCGTCAGAGAGATGCGTTCCGGTATGGTAAGGGCCTAAGCAGATTGGCTGTCTTGGCAGTGTTTTATGTCTAAGTCTTTGTCTTATGTAAGGGCTTAAGCAGAATGGCTGTCTTGGCAGTGTTTTATGCCTTAAGTCTTTGTCTTATGTACAGTATTGTGCGTTACATTATTGATATTGTTTTACGTCCTGATTTTGATATTAGTAATTTAAGTTTTAAAATTTGTAGAATAAAATTAAATGTTGCTTGGTTTATTCTAAAAAAAGGGTTTATTTTAAAAATTAAATATTCTTCCTCATCGAATAATAATTCTAATAATGTTATTATTTGCGCAAATATAACACACAATAACCTATCGTCTGCCATTTTGACGTGCTCATAGTCGCTTACCTTGCCAAAACGAATGACATTTCTTACTATTGTGTAAGCGCTCAAATACCAAATCGAACGATTGAAAACAGCGCTTATAAGCGTGAGCGCTTACAGCGCGTGAGCGTCCATACCGAACGCACCCTTAGTGTTGCTACGGTTGCTACATCTCGCCAGTATGACGGAAATCATAACCTGATTCCTGTCAACTTTAACGTTTAATATCTCGCGTCGCGGGGCAGAGCGACACTTTTTTCTGCCAGATTCTTTCGTTTCGTGCAAAACCGCGTCGATTGAGCATAATACCCGACATTAAGAAAAAATTATATTCGTATATCCAATTCGAAATTTTATTACTCTTTTTAAACTGAATTTGTTTCTTAAGAATTTTTGAAAAATTATATATTTGCGCTGGTTATGACACATGTAGACTATATATATATATAACACTTACATCAAATTAAGAAGTAGTCTACCACGTAAGACGGTTGGCTCACGATCCAGAGATCCCGAGGTCTCGAGTTCGAATCCCATCAAGGTAAGTGTGTTTTTCAAGTACAAGAAAATATTTATAATCATAGGTTGCATCTTAAGAAACAAATTTAGTTAAAAAGTAGTAATAAAATTTCAAAATAAATATAATTATTTTTATGTCGGGTAAATTTCCTCATTAGAGAGTGTTTTAATTTTAGTATTTCCTTGTAGTCTACTGTACTCAAATAGATGTAAAAATGTGTAGAATATCAGTATTAGTTGTAGTTTGGCGTAGTTTTACCGAAAAATTTATAGATCAAGATGCACTAAAAAAATACAAAAATTTACAAAAGTTTTCCAATTCTAGCATTTTCATATAGGATTTTGTAGTACTTTTTAAATTCATGTAGAATTTAATAGATTCTGGCAATTATATTTTATAGTTTTTTGTAGTACACTTTTATTTTTTTTCAAATTTTGTAGAAATATTTCCGCCAAGGAATTTCATCGATATTTGAGGTGAGGCCCCTAAACTGTATAATTACCAGGGTAAATGTTTAGTATAACGCTCTCCCCTCCGATTTTCTTGAAATTTTGTAAAATAGTTTATTTTTGTGTGTAAAATACATTCTGAGAAGGAAAATCGTTGCTCATGTCTCGTTTTTTTTATATTTAATTTCAAAGTTTTATGATGTCGGTATATAAGTGGGAAAATAATAATTTACGTTTTTGTAATTATTTATAATACGCGCTGCATCTCGAATATTAATAAAATTATGCTCATTCGACGAGTTTTGCCGAACAAATTATTTCTGCTACAGATATTAAGCGTCGAAGTTAACGAAACAGAAATAATTTGCTAAAGCAGAGAATAATAATTGGTATATGAAAAGTACATATTTATATGTACTTATTCATCGTACATATTTATATATTCTATGAATAGTTGGTATATAAATATGTACTTTTCATATACCAACTTATTCATCGTACATATTTATATATTCTATGAATAGTTGGTATATAAATATGTACTTTTCATATACCAACTATTCTCTGCTTTAACAAATTATTTTTGTTTCGTTAACTTCGGCGCTTAATATCTGTAGCAGAAATAATTTGTTCGGCAAAACTCGTCAAATAAGCATAATTTTATTGATATTCGAAGTGCAGCGCGTATTCTAAAATTACCAAAAACGTAAATTATTATTTTCCTAAAATTCTAAATAACAAGCTCGTGTATATAACAAGAATCAAGGGTAACAACGGCCACTGACGAGCAACAACAAATATTATAATTTAAACATAATATTTTAACAATGTTGGTACGTTTCTGCACACTGTGTTTTCATCAGCCAATTAATATTTTAAATCACATAATCTAAAATATAAAATTCTACATCCAAACAATACGGTAAAATTTTTTTATATAAACGTTGTCCTATGTTTAATTGTACAATAAGTAAATGCGGAACAAGAAAATGTTAAACACAGTAAAGTAGTGTCGGCACATTTTTGAAACCTTATTAGATTTTCAAACGATTGGATAAGATAATTTTCAATAATTTTTAATTTGTTTGCCAACTATACGTCGGTCTATCTAGTCGTAGTAGATTAATATCGTACGGGTATACTAGAGTTCCTATAATAAGAGTTAGGACAAACCGCCGCCATGTACAGCCAAATGTTATAGCTTTGTCTCACTCCCACTAACTTCTTGGCTGAAGCATATGACGATCATGATAGCTTTGTCTTACTCCCACTTACAGCTTGTTTCACTCTCACTAACTTGGCTGAAACATATGACGGGACCAATCAAAAATCGTCACCACATTGGCTTAACTCTTATTATAGGAACTCTAGGGTATACGAGCACAAGATGGCGACGGCAGCAAAGTGGGGGTAAAATTTGCGTCTCTCTATTAGTAAATATAGGATTCTACTCGCTACCAACGCTCTTCCTTCCGAGGTAGTGCGCATTAAGGGGTAACGCCACTGAGACCCAAAAGTTTATATCTAAGTTTGGGAATTTTTTGTGGGCAAATGAATAGCTTTATTTAAAAAAACATAAACCACTTTATTGTACACATACTTAACTATAAAAAAAGTATTTTTATTAGTCATAATTGTTGAAAATGGCGGCGTACTGGCACAACGTCGCGTAAAAGAGTCACGGTCGGTCTCGCTCCGCGTGTAGTACTTGGCGCGAGACACTACCGTGTCTCTTGATTCCGCAAAATGCACTTTTCAAATTTGCGTGCAACGCTATTCTTACAATTTTTATCCGATTGACTTGAACTTTACACACATGATCTTCTTCTATATGTCGCGCAGGCCCGGGAAGTATACGTAGGATTTTTGCGAAATATTGAAAACTCTTTTTGCAATCTGTTTGTAACAAGCTCGCGCACGAGCCTGGTCTCGTGATTTAGATGAGGAAGGAACAAATATAACAAATCTGTGCATGGAGAGAAAAATTGTGTACCGTGATTTATTTAATGAAAGAAACTTCTAAATGACAGAAATATTCAATGAATACCAACATTTTTGCAAGGGTAAGGAAAACTGCCACAAAACCTTACCAGTATTCTTACAACAGAATAGTTAAACCCAATGTTAAATTTAGTGTAATACAAAATAAGTCGTTTTATTTTCGACCCAACTGGCCAATTAAAACAATATTGCACGACGTTTCGACCGAATTCCGGTCCTTTTCAAGTGCTTTAATTTAAGTTACACCGATCCGCATAACAAATTGCATTGTTGACGTGGTGTCCTGACAACGTCAAGACAAACGCAAAACTAAACAAAAGAGAAAATAATACATTTAACAATAAAAACT